ACTTGCCGCGGGTTTCCCGACCTTTCGTTATAACTAACATACCGTGAATTTTGCGGCTTATTGTATTCACTAAGAATTGGAACTGAAGCCAGCGGTGTACCGTCTGCTGTAGTGGCACAAGCGGGGGGAGGGGGTGCACAGATAACACATGTCCGCCCTTAGATCCCGGGGGCAGGAAGGGCCCTCGGGACCGACGATTAAAAGCCCAATGTAAGGGCTCGAAGGGTCCGAAAGTCGGGCCGGAGAGCATATTAGAAAATATTTCGGGTCGGGTTCTCCATTGCCAGTCAGAAAGCCCTTTGCGTCTGTTGGGGCCGCTAAGTCCTATGAGCTCTCTATGCTGGCCAAACACCACCAGTACTGAACAGTCGGCTCTGTGTCGGTCTGGGTCTGAGAGCCTGTTCCCGAAACAGGGACGACACCCGGGCCCGCGGTTTATTGGTCGGGGCCCCTGAGTCGACGAGGAGCCCCCTGCAGTCAGCCAGGGGCCCACAGTGACTAACAAGGGGTCTTGTGTTGGCGAGAGTCCCCGAGTCGACCAGGGGCAGTGTTTGAGGAGACCCCGGAGAGGAACCCTATCGGAACGCTTAAAGCCCCGAAGGGATAGCTGTAGGTCATATCAAGGATCCCTGCCCGCAGGCTCGTAACATCAAATGTCAGTCACACGGCCTCTTGCACCGATTGAAGAACCCCTGGGTTAATGTTGGCGTCTACTTCGGCCTAGAGACCACCAACATCGAACACTTAGCTTCGTGTCGGCCTAAGCCTTAGGGCCATCTCCCCAGCAGGAACAAGGCCGTGGCCCGCGATCGATCTGAGCCTGTGCCAGTCGACCTTGACCTTGGCGAGCCAAGAGCCGCGCGTCGGCTGAATCACGCTCGTGACCCGGCTCGGCAGGGTGTGGGGTGACTCATGGGATCGTCACGTGCCTCGCAGTCATGCCATCAGGCTTCAGGCTGTCCCGCCCGTCCCGTCACCGGTCGGCCAACCGCGCGGCGCACGTGCTGCGACCAAGAACGGTGTTAACTGCAATCAAGGGACTGTGGTGGGACTGTCCCCCGGCGACCACCGGCCCGGCCGTCCGCAACCGACCCGCTGGGAACTGGAACTGGAGGCATGCAGCTGACCGACTGGAGCCTAGCAATTCTGCACGGTCCGCGGTGTAGCTTGGGTCTGTTCGATCACACCGGACAGCTGTGGGGCCGTCCGTCCAAAGACAATTTCCGAGGACGTGAGACCATAAGCGGATCCGGGGGGGGGAGGGGGAGCACGGAGCCTTGGCCCCCCAAAAACTCTGAGAGTATGTTTTGGCCCCCTCAAAACATTACCAGAACTTCATAAAAGTTTCGTCTACTTACCGTCTGTTTTAACTGATGTATCAAACATTTCTTTCCGTTTCGGAAAAAAACTTCATGAAGAAAAGTTGGCAGCGATTTGAATATAAAAACAAAACGCATGTTGACGCGACTTAGTCATACTCGGCTTATGTTACGAGCCTTGTAAACATGTATACTGTACATAAAAGATTCAAAAGCATTTCGGTGCTTGAATGGTGTCCCCTACTAGGTACCCGCGAGAGGCACCATGCACTGGACCTCGGATCCCACACCAGCCAGCTGGCGACGAACGGTTGCCCCCCCCCCCCCCCCAACTCCAGGCTAGATCTGCCCCTGCGTGAGATGTTCACAAAAGACATTTGACAACTGTGTCTGATATCCGTTTTTGAGGCCAATGCTTTGTCAGCAATTTGGCTATTGCTGGGCAAAATTGCTCAGCTGCATCTGCGTTGTCTGCGCTGCAGAGAGCGGCGCCGCGTTCAGTCTCTGACATTGAGCGGCCACAACTTTTTCAAGACTGGTCGAAATAAGTGACAAGATATTCCATCTTGATCTGGTAGCAGTGACGTAACCAGGGCTTGAATGACTGATCTGGACACGATAGAATGCACAGCTTGCTCACCGCACATGAGCCTGGGACATATGTTTGGAATCTACTGCGCTAGTTCATTAGCCAGCTGGCTGTACCTCCACCACGTGACTGTGGAAAAGTAGCTGCTCTTTTCCGAATACCATACCTTTTAACAAACAAAAGTCATTAGCCTGCCGTTGTCACTACTGCAAAACACGCGTACTCACAAAATACGACAAACGCATTGTCCACAGACAGAACTTGCATGACTACTTTGCTTTCCTATCGTTCGTTAAAACGATTACGACGATTTCGGCACAAAACCAGCAGTTATTCGAACCGATCAGCGTGGCACAAAACCATGGAACACAATCTGGATGGTGCAAGCTTTTGCATATCTAGTCCCGAATCATTTTGATCAGCAGCAGTACAAACCTATCACGGGCTAACCCAATAAGCAGAAAATTATAACCACATTGCCTCACATCTAGCTACGCTGTTGCATTTAGCTTCACTCACATCTACTCCAATTTTTCGAACAATCCTGATTTAACTGTAGTTATGGACGCCTGGTAGCGAAAGACACCCATTTCGCGCTTCCTCAATTCAAATAAATCAGCGTTCGTCCGAAATCAAGTATGACGAAGAAAAAAGCAGCCATGAAAATTATAACATCCAGACCCGGTGGTCTGCACCACCTGGTGTGATTGAATATAAGCTCGACTTCGCCATCGTCCGCCGCCAGATGTCCGGGCTATGTCTACTGCGATCAACATACCAGTTGTCAAGGTGATGACATTTCAGGCTGCAACACCACAGTTCCCATTCACGATAAGAATTGAGGTTTTTTTCCAAGACGCAATATGCTGTATCTAAACCCCTGCGTGTACATGATAGACGTTTATGTATAATTCAATAACTTAACTTTCACTTTGATAATATCATATATTTGACGAATAGTCGTAAGTAGAATGACTGATTCTGCATAAATTCTCTATGAGCTCGACCGTGTCACGAGGAGGTAGGTAAGATGAATCGAGAGAAACCAAAAGAGAACAGCGAGCGCATATTACGCAGTCGTGGTCAACAACAAATGCTACAAACAACACTAGAAGTCCTGCTGACCAAGTCTGCAAATGTATATATATATATATATATATATATATATATATATATATATATATATATATATATATCCCCGCTTCCCCCTTTGGTCCCGAAGGTCCAGAAACCGATAAACTGGCTTCATTTATCTATAAAGCCATCTACAAGGACCAAATATCTCTTAAGCTAATGGCCCCCGCCTTGAGGGCTTCGCGAGACCCGAGACAGATGACGGCCCCTGAAGTTGGAATGGGCCTCCGGAACTTATTAGAAGACTTCACTGGTAAGTTCAGTAAGCTCATTGGTCCCCAGGTGAAATTGGTAAAGCGTTTGATTGGCTCCAAATTTCAGGAAAATTATGGGCATGGATACTGTTATAGGCAGGATCCTTACAAAAAAATCCCGATCCCGAGTATTCTTCAAGAAATGCTGCACACAGTGGTGTTTCTTGCGTTTTACTTAACCTATAATTAGCTTCATTCACACTATTTTGTGATTATCATCACATAACAGTGAAGCATGGTTGTACACTTTCCTGAAGTCATTCCATAATTTGGAAAACATATCGGAAACTTTAAAGTGATAGGCAACGGCTGGTTAGAGCTGATGTAAAACTGTCATTTTTCGCCAGCAAGGCCATTTGGATTCTAGAAATCCTGCTTGGGAGCTCCTTGCAGTTTTAAGATCCCTGTCACAAGGGTCATTCTTGGACTTATAAGGTCCATGTAAAGAGGGACCTTGCAGTTCTGAGGGTCTCCTAATTTAAGGGGTTTCTGGGACCTCCGAAATCGGCCGTAGAATGTCACCTTTGGACCTTTGGACCTCCAGAAGCCCTGCCAAAGATCACGTTAGATCTTTAAGACATGTTCCAAGAGGCCCAATGACCTTCACAAGGTCTCTGACAACCTTTTCTTGAGGGCCATTGCCCCCTTCCACCAAAAAAAGAAAATCAAAGGTCACATAGTAGCATGCTATATGTCAAGCTACCCTGCAAAGATAAGTTTCGTGTGAAAAGAAACCATACGTAGCAGCCTGGGACGTAAAAAAACACCTTCCGAGATGAATTTTCGAGGTCATATCTGAGGCGTTCGACCACAAAACTGTAATGAAACAGTGTTTTGAATATACCCGGGTACTTTGTGACAGGGTATTCTCGCTACAGGGACCTAATGCTCGCATGCGAGAATCCACGCAATTCTGCGGATCTTGTCAAGGAGAATTCTATGAAAACCAAGGTTGATATTACGGCTGCCGCATTCAGATTTCATATGACATCCTCGTCCGATTTTGCTCAGATGCTTAAAAGAACGCTGAGCGTAAGCACTCTCCGAGACGAACGGCTTGCTTCGCAGAGGACTTATGCATAGCCCTCTGAAACGGAGCATGGCGGCGCTATGCAAAGCGCGGTGTCACGTGCAAAGTGTCGTTGAGGTTCTACGACTGCGGTGTTTGCGTACTTTTTACGGCTGCAGCAGTGCCCCAACAATTAGTGGGCATCCGTTGCTCTCTAACGGTTTCAATGAGGCTAATGGAAAGTATTTGGAAACGGAGGTCCAAAAACATGCTGTAAAGGTGGGATGGGGGGAGGAGGAGGGCAGAATCTGCCCACTCCTCGCATGTAACAGGATTGGGTGAAGAATCCCAGACAAAGGAGTGAAAATAGCGGCACCCACTCTAGGAGTGTCACCGGCCGGGCGGCGCCGCTACCCGCCGCCGCCCGTCACCGGCGCTGTTTTGCCGGCGGTGTTCTTGCTCGGTTGCCCCGCTGACCCGGCGCCTGTAAAAATAGATGTCGAACGACCTGGGTCGCGGGCCGCCTCAGTGTGCGGCGCCAACACGGAGCCAGCACGGTCGTGTCGGCGCCGTGCCGCCGGCAGTCCAGTGGCGCTCGGCCACCCCTGAGGCCAGCCCCCCGCCTGGCGCGAGCGAGCACGGTCGGGCCTAGGCCGAGGCTGGGCTTCGCACTGAGGTGGTTCGCCTGAGGAGGTCTGAGGAAGTGCAGTGTGCAGTGCAACTTCCACCTTGTGGCTTTTGCCGTGCGCTGCAGCACAGCACAGCGTAGACTAGGGCATTGGACAAAGCCAAGCCTCAGAGGCCCTGACAGCGGGGCCTCAGGGCTCAGGGGGCTTCTGGAGGCCGGACGCAGCGTCATGGCGGCAGCCCCTGCGAAGCACGTGGACGCTGTACTCGACGGGGACGGCGCCGGTGTCGACGGAACGCGGGACGAACTGGACTGTGACGTGTGTGGTGAACTGAACCCCGCCCTCAGGCCCGACGGAAAGCCTCGGTTTAGGTGAGAGACATTCGGATGGTGCAGTAGCCCACAGGGGCTATTGGTGGCACATCGTTAAAAGATGACAACTATGCATCGCCACCGTACGCAGAGATTAATACGCGCCCTGGCGTCCACTGTGCAGTATCAACACACCAACGTATCGAGTTTTTTCTGCTTCCCTGGCGGAGGTTTCCTTTGTAGCTGCAGGCACATGTTGACTTTAAAAAGCTTACAATAAATATATCACAGCTATGAAAAAGAATTGCAGCAGCGCAGCATCATCATTGCGTTGAAGGGCAAGGAGAAATTAAACTGATAGAAAATGTTACGTCTTCTGGACTTTTCCGTGTAATATTAAGATAAAAAATATGCATAGTACTCAGAGGAGAAAATACGTTCTGCTTTCAGCGGAGAAAATACGTTATGCTTTCAAAGCAGATAACACCCAGTTGAAAAACAGATGTTGCAATGTCACGAGATTCGTGAATCCAACCGTATTATTCAACTATTTACTCCGGTCGCTTTTGGTCCAGATTCCTAAACGGGCCCCAGATGATGTTGCCAGACTGGAAGAGCGGCGTTACCATTGTGTGCACAGCAGGGAAGAATACATTTGTCTGTGTTGGCGAAGGAGCGTCTCACCATCGCCAGCACCTGGAAAGCCTTTGAGACTGCTACTGCCATCTGCCGGCGGAACTTGAATTGACTGTGTACGGTACCCAAATCCTTCTCCTGGTTCACCTCTTCGATTAACACTCCATTTGGGGAGTAATTCGGCCAGGGAATTACTGTCAAAAATGCGCATCACCCAGCAATTCGATTAAAGGGCAAGATCCGCTTATTGGACCATTCCACAACGGCATACAGGTCTGCCTGGATGGACCAATGCGGCAGCAATCCAAGTGCATTCAAATAAAGCTTGATGCCGTCAGTGAACAGCCTAAGAGCCTAAATGCCGCTCGTGCTTGCTCAGGGATGCATTGACAAAAATGGTGAACAAAGTTGGCCGAAGAGCGGACCGCTGATGGATTCCGCCACCCAGCGGACTTGAAACCATGGATCACCGCCCCTTGGCTTCGACCATCGAGAAAAGCTTTGATCCATCACAACAGTTTATCCCTACCCCATACACTACGTATAAAGTTTGAGAAGAGACCGTTAATATGACACTGATTCGAAAGCCTTGATGAAGTCAAGGTACGCCACGTCTACTGAGCCCTGCCCTCTACTGCCGAGGTCCATTCTGTCATCACCTCCAGAATGTGAGTGGAGCTGGACCGCTTTGGTAAAAAATCCCCGCGGATCCACGTCTACAGAGCTCAGATTCTGTCATGTGGTGCGACAACCTGTCACTACTAAGCGATTCTGCATTTTTATTGGACTACAGTAAGGCTTACAGGTCTGTGGCTTGTATAGTTTTGTATGTTTCTTTCCGTGTAAATTGTGATCAATTCACGTATTTTTTATCCAGAGGGGAGCCCTACAGCATCGAGAAGTTTGCGGAACAGCAAACTGAGAGGTACCAAAAATACACTTGCTCCTTAGCGCAGTGCTCCAGGGTGGATGAAATCTGGACCAGGTGAGCTAGTTGACTTCAGCACAGACAAGTTCTGAGCCGCATCACGATGGGAAACTCCAGCATTTTCAAGGGATGGGCCTTCATAACAGAACACCTTCGGGAGCGGATGTGAACTTCCTGTGATGAACTTGCTTGCCAAAAAAAAATCGGCTCAGCCGATTTTCTTCTCTAGGTTACCAAAAGTTAGTCTACCCTCCAAACCACATGATCTCTGACTCTACACCTGTTGTGTAGCGTATAACTTGCTTATCACCAAAAGGCCTTTTACTTGTACTCCTTTTCTAATGCTGCGTGCCTTGTTTAGCTCTTGCGAAGCCTTCTGGTCTTGTCAGCTGTCTCAAGCCATTCCTACATTGAACAAATCTTGCATGATCCAAAATGTCCAGAGGCTGAGTAAAGGACGATGACATGAGGTTTTGCTTTTATTTGGTCACCCGTGCCTCTCGTTCAAGGTCCAAATTCTTCCTTGGATTTGAATTTTTAACGAAGATTTCTTAAACAGCATTTTGCATTTTGCATTTGAAGTAGTCATGGGCCTCTTCAAGACCCACCTCTTCCATATGGCTCCTAAGGAGCTTCATATCACTAATCAAACCTTATTGATTTGTCAGAAGTAGGTTCAGTGTGTTAGTTGCCTCACCCGCTCTGTAGCGGGTTCGCTGACAGATGTGCCGGCAGAGAAAGCAATGTTGTGCTGTCTCCACAAAAGGAGCGAGATTATTGGTGCTCTGTAGCTACTGAAGATCAATTTTCCCAGTCAGTTTGGAGGTAGCACTATTCTCCTGCCAGCAAGTGAGAGCACTGCTCTCTGTAAGCTTCCTGTAGAATCTGCTCCAGTTGCTGCTCACTTTCTTGTGGGCACTGGCTGAAGAGCTTCGACGGGTACAACCAATCCACACTGTGTTCTTCCTGTCAACGATTATCTTGAGCCATGCTTGTTCAATCAATGTGCATGTCATCATTAATTTCTTCACTAAGTGCAGATGGTCTGTAACAGGAACACTTTCCTTCATGAACCCCCTTGCCCTTAATTACGAGGTGAGTGGACAACATGTCAAAGCTTATTTAATGTGTTAAAACTTGGAATGAAAACCCGGCAATACACAGCTGACTTGGAACAAACGTCAAATTTTGTGCTCTAGGGATGATCTCTGCAAGGAAAACCGAGTCTGGTTAACATTAGGGGTGTGCATACTTAAGTCATCCATTTTGTTTATAAACTGATCAGTATTTGTTTATAATGCCTGTTATGCCACGTAGCCACGCCTCTGCTGCATTTTGCTAAATATATCCCAGCTAACGTGAAAATGATGGGCATATCACCACAGCTTGGACAATAGTAAACTTATAAGCCTGAAATCGATATATTTACTGGCCCATATATATCATGTAATACCACTGTAGCGGCACGAGGTCAAAGCTTAGTCGTGTGGGCCACCAATAGGTGGCGCCAACGAGTGCGTTGTGTGTGGCATTGTGCGTCGGGTGAGAACTGTGTGCGTCCACATAGCTTCGCTGTTCTATTAATGTTAGGTAATGATATTAGTGATATGCCTACCACAGAACGGTTGACAGTATGACCATTGTTTGGCCGCTATTGGCATATTGACTGCCGGATCTAGGGAGATGTTTGCTACTGTCAAGTGTGGTATTCGAACCGAGCCGTATCGCTAATATACTATTTGTGCAGCCTGACAGCGCAATGTTCTTTGCTCTTCGTGATCTGTCCCTCTCTGGACGCACTTCCCTGTCTGTCAGTCCGGGCCGGCATCACCTCGATGCCGGCACCGAAGTTTCAAACCGGACCAGCACGACCAACGCAGCAATGCTAGTCCCGGCCACTCGGCCGCAACCAGCCGGTTGCCAGTCCGAGTCCTGAGGTACGAGTGATTACGCTTGTGTCGCACCGCACGGGGGCTCGGGTTGTTAACTGAGGAAAACAATGAGCAACTGCTGCCACATTTTCTTTTGTCGCCGAATACAGTGACGTGCGCGACACCACCATTCTCCGTACCTATAAACAACCTTTGCATATTATCATTGCCGACATACATGATGCGAATGGCCGGGAAAGAAACTAACCGCGAGCACTGTGTTCGATACTCAAACTCCCAAATGCCAGGTGCTTTTGCAGCTCTGCTCATTCCATTGGCCCAGCGTCATCGGTGCACGCGTAGTTTTGGCATTCGCGCACTTGATGCATTGCCTGCATTTATTGCGCCATTAGAAGATCTCGACAATCAGTTCGTGTTGACAGCCAAGCGCTCAGACCCCTTCCGTATCCTCCTGGATACGCCCTGGCGGTAAACACGCAACACATACCATCGAATATAATCGGTCGGAACGCAGTATTACAACGGCCTTCATTTAACAGTAGCGTCCATGGTCAAAGAACGTCGATCAGCATGTCAGGCACGTTCGACTTTGACGGTCATAACAGTGCGAATGGCGGGATATTCGTAGTCGGCCCTGGCCAATGCAGGAAATCGAATTTCGACAGGCTGTGTGAGGCTTATGTATAAAAAGAAGTTGTTGATACTCAGGTGCTTCCGTTTCCGAATACAGCCTGCAAAACAAACACGGGACAATTACGGCCGGCCTCCACATAGTCCAATTTTTGACCATTTTTGTGCTATCGTGATAGCGTGATCCACAGCGGGTAATTACTGAAGGTTTTCCGTCGCTCTCTGGCACTGTCCATGAAGGTACAGTCAGAACCCGAGAGTGGTGCTACAGGCGGTCCAGTCCAAGTCATTTAGGGATAGCCCATCACCTTGTGATCATTCGGAAATCATCGGTCGCACAGGTCAACAACTGCGTGCCTCATTCCCACGCTCTCACTTGTTCTGCTCGCTTGGCCTTGACCTGCTATTCGTGTTGAGCTTGTGCAAGTCATGGGAGTATTTGCAAGGCCCTGGGACATCCCCTTTGCTGGCGATCTTACGCTGAAGTGCAATGTAACTCGCAAAACAGCTTGTTTTCTCCGGCACTGTGGTCCTTGACGCAAATGCAGTTTGCCTTTTTCGGAAAGTGAGGGGCTATGAAAACACCTGGTCATTAACAAAAATGAAAATAACGAGCATGCACCGTGTTTCACATTAACATGGCATAACCTACCATGTTTGATAGCGCATTAAGAAGAAAAAACAACTGAAAATGGTTTTCGTCGCTCCGCCACGCTGCCATGTTGAACAGATGTGAGCCTGGCAGGGTTGAAGGCTCGCACGGAACGTTATTTACGTGCGATGCGTGTCTGACGGGCATCTGCCCATGTCACACTTGGACACTCACCCCCGCTGCACTCAGCAGGACATGCGATCTCATCCGTCTAGTCCCGTCAGGTCACACTAGACAGTCTTTTAGAGAATGAGTGATCAAAGGGCTTTGGCTGTATGTTTCAATATATAATGTGCAGGGTATTTTTGTGTGGACGAATAACCTCGGTTTATCGCTTGCAACATCCTTGGATGCGTGCATTTTTAAGACGATTCAAGCAGACAGTCAACCCTTAGGCATGATCGACATTGTGACGAGTAAGCCGCCTTGGATTTCTGTTCGACACTCACAGGTATTTGATTCACATCACGCATTTTATGGTGACGACACCGGCTATTGACCCAGGTCCGACGCGCATCTCAGGCCTGCAAACAAATACCGTGCGAACAGACCACGATAATAACTTGTGGGCTTCGAAGTCTCAACCGAGTTTCTATCTGGCCAATCGGGAGAGAGCCAGTGGCTGTTACGTCACATCGTAGCTCACAGTAAAACACACGCCGTTTCCCGCAAAGATCACGCATTGTTTGAGTTCTAAATATCCTGGTGATAGCGTTTGGTCATACGCTTCAACGCTTGTTTTTGCTGTGGCTAATATACATTAAATTTATGCTTGTCCCAAGCCTAGCCCTTCGAAAAAAATGCTAGAATACAAGACAGAGCAATCCTACCCCAAGAAGGCAACACACAAATCTGTACAAAGGCCTCAGGGGCGCCATTGCAGCCTAGCATTGGACCAAGCACTTCTTTATGGGTCATGGGCTTCTGTGCTGATAGCTAGCAGCGGAACACAGTCAGACACAGTTGGTATTGGTCGAGGTAAGAAGTATTATGCTGGGCACGTACCTTGATTGCTTATCAGATACCGTAAATAACGTGAATTTGTTCTGCATCAAAGTACAGTTCAGGGAATTTCACCACAATGGCCTCAACAGGTTAAGTACCCTGTGCGCACAGCGTAGTGCGCACCGGACGTAACGACCTAACCAAAATTACCGGAAACGACCTTGAAATTAGCATCTGGGCACCAACTTCCCTTAGCCGCGGTCCGTGGTCCTCCGTGATCCGGGGAAAGATGCTGGACTGGTTCCCCAGCGGCACTGGGTACGGGTCCCAGAGCGGGCACGTGGTTTAGTCCAGCTGAAACGGAAAGGTCAGCTGACAACCGGCCAAAGAGGGTCAGCCCACGTCGGGGCGGCCGTTTTGTAGCATCGAGCGGTACGTATCACCCTCCCCATCCTGCCTGGTGAAAACGGTGGAGACAGACTCATCCATTGAACCGAACGAAGCGATGTGGGTGGTGGATTCAGGGCATGCGCAGTATGCTGTGCTTAGCAGCTGTTATGAACCCAAAAGCCTTCCTGTACGAACCATCCGGAATTGATTTATTTAAAAAGCAAATCCTCAGTCCTCCATAACCTTCAGAAGTTCCCAGCTCGTCCACCGTTCGCTGGCAATGGACGTTCAATCATTCACTGCTTGTCCGAGTTCGACTAAATGTTCTGCTTTGCGGCCAGACCACAGCGGCGTCACTGCAGGGGCCCCTCATCCCCCCCCAAAAAAAACGCCCCTCGGCAAAAGTTTCTGCCATGGAACACCAATGGAATTCCTTGTTTGACACTTAAAACATATCGAAGGCTGTTTAGAACCGTAAGAAAAAACTTGCACATTTTAAATTACATGCTTCTGAAGGTATTCGATCCACATTTTCGTCCGCAGTAATCATATTACACGTTTTTCATCTCCTGCAAAAATAGGTGCCTTTTATAACTCCACTGACGGGTAGCAGGCTCAATCGTGACTTATGTTAGCCGTGGATTCGATGAAAGGAAAATTTTCTCCGTCACTTTTTCTTCGAATCACTGATATTTTCTCTGCAAAGTCGTTCGTAACCGTGGATCCGCGGAAGCCGTTTTGGTGATTGTTTCACTGACAGTCGTTGAGATTCCACGACACCCTCAGGCCACCTTCCGTACTACGTCGGCCTCTCCCGGCTGGCAGCCTGATTGCTTGCGAATTACCTTGAGTGACCTGTCTCGGCGCGGACCTGCGCGTCATCCTCGCTGGGATAGCAGCCGCTCCGGCGCCGCCGCCACCCTGACCCGCCTCCACGCCCTCTGACCGACGCGGCGGCTGCGCGGGACGCCGGAGCGCTTGGCATGCGCCGAGCGCCAGAGTCGCAGCCCGCAGCCGGTCGTCTCACGCGCCGAGTCAGCCGGCACCGGCCGCACGGTCACGGCCGCCGGCTCACCTGCCGGAAGGAGGGGCTCGCGGCGCGCCTCACCTCTGACCCGACCTCGGGGCGCCACTTTCGCCGCCATTGGTAGAGTCCGACGCCGCTGCAGCTGCAGCGCAGTGGTATCGCCGGTGGCGGAGCAGACGCCGTCGGCCCTCCCCAGCGAGCGCGGTCGTCAGCGCTCCCTGTCCAGGGTCATAGTGTGATGTGCGTGGCGTAGTGTGCCGCCGCTCGGACGCCTCTGTGCTGCTCGGACACAGTGCCGACGCGCGCGCTGACCCGAGATGTCGCCGCCGGCTCGCCCCAGCAGCGGGATGTCGCTGTCAGTGGCGTTCGCGGAGCACCTGGCGCTCAGGTGGGCACATCAGCACCCCGCCACCACATCAGCACCCTGACACCGCATCAACACCCCGCCACCACATCAGGACCCTGACACCACATCAGCACCCTGCCACCACATCAGCACCCCGCCACCACATCAGCACCCTGCCACCACATCAGCACCCTGCCACCACATCAGCACCCTGCCACCGTATCAGCACCCTGACACCGCATCAGCACCCTGCCACCACATCAGCACCCTGCCACCACATCAGCACCCGCCACCATATCAGCACCCTGCCACCACATCAACACCCTGCCGCCACTACACTACTTTGTATTCAAATCCATGCGACCATGTGTGGAAAGCAACATTTTGTAGACACCTCACAGCACTAGAATCAACAGGTATGCAATGCAAAGTATTTCGTGGAACTCTGGAGGAAATGACAAAACGTTCCACGAACGCGCTACAAAAGTATGCTTATCACTGAGCTCAGTCCTCTCAGTTATCCGATTTACGCAAGCTGCGATAAATGACGCGTTTTCTGCTCTGACCCTACTATCCTCGTTTATCGTAGTGCTCATCATCACCAGTGAAATTTTCCATCCGTGGCCTGATAGACCCCAGTTGACGCGGTTGGAGGTAACTTTATCTTCTTCCGCCGTACATTCACCCATATATATATATATATATATATATATATATATATATATATATATATATATACACACACACATATATATATATATATATATATATATATATATATATATATATATATATGCAAGTGTTGTTAAAGACCTTGGCGTAGGAACATTTGATAAGTTTGTTCTGTCCTTGCTCGGGTTTTCTAATTGAAAAACTCGAACAATTATCGCAGTTTATGTCAAAACCCGAAGAACTGTCGGTGTCTTTCTTGTTGCTTTTGTTTATTGTCAGTCTCTGCAGCTTGAACGTCACTTAAACAGCTGATTGAAAAACGTGCCCTCGAAGTGTTGCGCAGCTGCAAGTGAGTATGAGTGATGCATCTTAACGAATTAAATATATGTACCACACCGCTCTATTACCGTCGCATAACACGTGCAAGTAAAGGCGAAGATTGGATGACATCGGGAACGGCGAGGTCTGCACCGCTTACGACCAACGTCCCCTCCGTGTTCCAGGAGAACCCGCTCGCTGAACGCGCCCAGCCCCATCCGGCAGTTACCATAGCGTCCGCTCTGTGTTCCAGGAGAACCCGCTCGCTGAACGCGCCCAGCCCCATCCAGCAGTTACGATAGCGTCCCCTCTGTGTTCCAGGAGAACCCGCTGGCCGAACGCGCCCAGCCCTATCCAGCAGTTACGACAGCGTCCCCTCTGTGTTTCAGGAGAACCCGCTCGCTGAACGCACCCAGCCCCATCCAGCAGTTCGGACCATGTGGGCGCATCATGAAAAACTCGGCCATGGTCATGTGAGTGTTACCTGGCGTCGGAGCGCGGCCGTTTCGTTGTGCGTGCGGTCGTGTGAACGATCAGCCCCCTGAGATTAAGCTTTCTGTCGTTAGTCTGGTATACAGCCACAATGATTCGCTGCTATTTGGCAACTTCTAGAGCTGGAGGGTAGGCCCGCAAAAGGCCAAAAGGATCAAGACGGGGAGGGGGGGGGGGGGCTAAACAGTGAAACGTGACGCAACCCACCCCTCAGAATAAGCGAACAAACTGGCCGTTCCCCGGATTTCGCCCACTTCTCAAAGTTGAGGGGGCTAAAGCCCAAGCTGAGACGGGAGGGGGGGGGGGGGTGTATGATATCCAGCCTCCCCTCATCTGAATAGGAAACTTAACCCCTGCTCTAGATAATACTTTCAGTCAAAACAGCCCGTTACAGGTGAAAACACAGTGGATGTCGATGCGAACCAATGAAGCTCGCATTGCCGTCATGCACCACGGTATGACCACAAAAAATCAACCAACTGTGTCAAGTATTTCGACGATTATTTGTACGTTATGCTTCTCATAGCACTTGGAAAAGAACTCTTCGGTAACTGCAATAAATACAGCGGAAGCGGTAGATGGATTTGTACCTCGAATGGTTTCCCACCGGTTACAAAAAATATCGAGTATCGTGGCTTCGGCCACCGCTGGGCAACAATGAGACATCGGGGCAAGTGAATGTCGCCAATACGCAATCGATAAGGCCGTGGCACCTTTGATGACGTCATTGGCTCGCATTGTAGATAAGCCCGGTGCAGAGGCGTGCGTCATCGAATTGTTTCGGTGGATGTGTGCCTTGTAAGCACCACCATTTGCCACCGTCAGGCGTAACATTGTATCGTTATTGACATCCCAGGCTCGCTGGATGCACTTTGTGGAATTATGCCCGCGAAAAAGGTGCCGCCGTCTCCCTACTTTGTATCTGTGACGAGACGTTGCACGTAAGCGTCGTAACATGGCTCTTTTTCGTGAAGGCTACGGTCGTTTCAAATTGTCCCCGTCGGCAGCATTAGCTGACTTGAATTGCTTGCTTGATGAACTAGCGAAGTCCAATAGAGAACAGATATGATTAAATGGACATGCACAATAATTAAAAGACATGCACATCTCAAAAATTCTTATAAACGGGCAGTTATTCAAAATTATGTTTAAAGCATGAACTTTAACGGCGTGCAGGCGCTGAGGCCTTACGTTTCTAGAGTGATAGCTTCCCGACAGGGGATCTCATGGACGAGTCCAAAATTGCGCTTTAATGTCGAAACCGTTCTCTATAACGTTTGAGCCGGCGCAGTAACTATACTTGGAACGTTTTATGTTGATGGAATAACAGCAATGCGGTGCGATGGGGCAGGGTAAATTTGTCAAATGCAACTTAACATGGCTGTGACCTGGTACATGGCTGTGACCAAATGCAACCTCGTTTGATTGCTGGTGACAGCTCTGCTCGTTGGCGCCTCAGTGTTAGGCTCACTCCGTTTGGCTCTTAAATATTTCTCAGGTCGCTGGAAAACGTAAATAAATGTGACTGAATCCCTTATAGTCCCACCGGTAGTGTTTTAAAGCATTGAATTATGTGGGAACGAGCAGGGGCGTACGGACATAACCCCAGGGGTACGTGCCTATTCCTCACCAAACTTATGGCATGTGCGAATATGTAGATGACTAAATAATGACAGTTGAAAATTACTGGTGGGCACGCTAAGATGACAGATCGGGAACATGCGGTTTCATCAACTGTTACTTATTTAATGGATACCAATGACTTAACGACCCGCAAAAAATAGCACGCGACTGTGACGCACTAAGTTCGTTTTTCAGTTCGAATCTTTTAAGCTGCACCCCTCCCCTTTGGTAAAATTATGCGTACACGCTTAAAAAGGCATGCTGAGGAGATATTTTGAGAGAATGACATGTATGTGTGCGACGCAATGTTGCGCGGTATAAGTATACAGCGGAACAAAAACCCCATTGAACACATCGACACGGTCCGCCGCCATACCAGCGCCTCGCAGCTGAGCGGTGGCCGTAATGGCGACGGCGTTATTGACCTGGTATCGTACATGCACGAAGTGCCGGCCACCACATGAGTCAGCGTCGGCCGGGTCCCAGTGCGCGCGCCTCAGGTGCGGCCACGCGTCGTCCGTCGGTGCATCGAGTTCGTGACCTCAGTTCAGCCCGCCCGTGCCGCCCCAGCGCACGGCTCCGACGGCGGGGGTGCGTGTGGGACCCATCAGCGGCGCGTGTGGGACCCATCAGCGGCGAGGGTGGGACCCACCAGCGGCGAGGCGCGGTGACTGCCTGGTGATGAGAGTGGTGGCCGGGCCGGAGCTCTGCACGACCGGCGCCGCCTCGGACTGTCGTCGACAGTGCGCCGCCTCGGAGTGTCGCCGACAGTGCGCCACCTCGGAGTGTCGCCGACAGTGCGCCGCCTCGGACTGTCGCCGACAGCTCGCCGCCTGGGATGTCGAGTTCTGGAGGTAACCACCGCTGCTGGCCCGGGCTCGGGACTATGCCGGCAGACGCTCAGCAGAGGCCCTTGCTCAGCAGAGGCCCACGAGGTCCGAGGCAGGCTGTCGCCAGCCTCGCGTTGGCAGCCCATGGGATTTACACCGATGGGACCATCGATGTCAAAGACAGCTATTCAGTTGGACAACAGTTCTTCAGCCCGCACGGTTGTCCAGTAGCACGAACATTTCTCGTTCATAAGACAGCTCCCTAGTCGCACGACAGCCGCCCAGTCATAAGACAGCTACCCAATCATGTCGCAATTCTCCAGCCACATGACAGCTCCTCGGTCACACAGCAGTTCATGGCACTAAGATTTTCCTCAGCCACATGACAATTCCACAGTCACGTGGAAGCTCCATCACTGTGTTGCAGGTCCCAGCCACAGGACATTTCTACGGTCACACGGAGGCTCCCTAGGTACGTGACAGTACCCTGCCACATGACAGTTCCACAGTCAAATGGAAGTTCCTCAGCTACGTTACAATTCCCCAGTCACATGACAGTTCCCCGGTCAAAAGGCAACTCCTAACCGCCTCTGTGGTTACCTCCCCACTTCGCAGTCATGCATACAGTGTCCCAGCCACAAGGTGGTCCTTCAGGCACATGACAGTTACGTAGGCTTAGGCCCGCTAAAGACTGAAACTCAAATGACGACGCTCTTGTATTCGATTCTTATAATTAAGGAAAGAGTGTTCCAAAATTCTTATGACCCATGGGAGGCTGTTAAAAGATTCAATTTTGAAGGCAGTTTAGGTCCTAAATGAACACCAAACAAATGAGTGCACCCATTTTCTTTGGCAGATTGTAGACCGACCCTGCCTTTGTTGTGCACATGCGCACAACACGAACAAGACGAATCTGCCCCGGGTAGCTTGGAAGAAATCCGAAGAAGAACGGAAGGAGCCGCAGTGGAGGTGGGCCCCCACACAAGATTGGGATCTGTCAGGGCCCTTCCTGGCAGTGTGAGCAGTCTCTTCTATGCGGGCATAAAACAATGCAGTGTCGGGCCACCCATCCCATCTTCAGGCAAGAAGGCTTTAACAAAGCGACAGAGGACAGACCGCAACATAACAAACGCAAAACACAGGGTCGAAATCATCGTAGGGTAGAAAACCGGCTTGGTCATCTTATCTTGCAACCACGTATTTCCTCTACAAGTGCGACAAGTGACTTCATGGATGTGAGCCATTTCGATGTCATTGCGGAAAGGCCTTTCCGAGTGTCCAACTATCAAGGATGTTGGTTTGCTCGCAATCACGGGGGTGGGTTGTGCGGTAGCACGTCATGTTGGTGGACTTATAAATCCAGTGGCACTTTGGTGAACTTGGAGCAGCGTGCCACGTCGGCGGCCTGATGATAGGATTCCCTGAACAGTGCATTGTCGACGTTTTCCGCGAACCGCGCGTGATAACGCGTGCGAACATCAGCCGGGTCAATACGACGATGACTCATGTTTACCCCCTCCCCCCGCCGGTGAATGGGCCGTCCCAGCCAGCACAGAGATAGCCGGTGTGAGCCGGCCCACTTCCCACCAGCCGTGCACATGGTGCGGCCTTCGCACCCTGATGCAAAATAGCTGCAGTGGCGGAGCATAGGAAGTAACTTAAAGCTGAGGCTCAGCCGACGCCTCTGATCTGTTTCGCTGCTCGTGCAGATTTTGAATCAGCATTGGCATCAGCATAAACGTTCTCTTAAGGATTGTGCAGGCACTGACCATGTGCTAATGCGGAGGGTAGAGCGTCCGGGCCTTCGACCATCTGTCGATGAATACGGAGCAGCAAATCTTGGATTCGTTCGTAGGCCCATCCGGGTGCTAGGTCTTCGGCACAAACTACATGCACACTACATCGTGAACGCTAGCTTTGCCGCTGCTCCTGATAGGTACGATCTGTGCAGCCTTAATGCGGACACGCACGCTCGCACTCCTCGCGCATACAGACCGGTGCTTGATTCCGAGCTCTGACGGAAGCAACTTTGGAATCATTCGAAATCAACTCTGGAATCAGGCCGATGTTTGCTGAATCAGAGTGTTACTGACTCCTCGAGAATTTAGCTTATTTGAGTTTGATCAGGTAGAATGGTATTACCTGCGGAATGCATACATCTTCACTCAAATCCAAGAAATGACTGGTTTCATATCTTGAGAGCCTCTGAGTCATATGAGTTATTCTCAAACCGTTGTCAGTTTAATTAAGCTCCCTGAATCGATCCCGGAATTGAACCACATTTCCTCGGATCGCACCCATAGACATCCCAGGATTATATTGCGCGGATGGGAATCCATTCGGGGAGTTGTGACCCTGAGCCGGTGTCGATCCCAGTGAAGCGGCGTAAAGCGTGGAGCTGCCCAGATCTGCACGGATCTGAGTGGATCTGCACGGGTCTGGGCGGATCTGCACGGGTCTGGGGATCTGCACGGATCTGGGCGGATCTGCACGGGTCTGGGGATCTGCACGGATCTGGGCGAGGTGTA